TCTCTAAAACACATTCTGCATCATAGTAATACCCAAGCCTCCACTGACAAACCAAACCAAACCAATCTCACTGCCATCGAATCAGTTCTGATTCATAGCAACCACCTTTGGGTTTCCAAGGCAGTAAATCTTTATGGAAGTAAACTGCCCAGTCTTCCTTCCATGGAGTGGCTGGTAGATTTGAACTACCAACCTTCTGGTTACCAGTCACATGCCTTAGGCACTCCACCACCAGACAGTCAGGTGGTAATGCCCTTGAGGTGCATTAGCTGGGATTCAAACCCAGGTCTCCAGCATGGAAAGGGGGAATTGTACCATTGAACCACCACTGTCCCTGACCCTGGACTAGGGAATGCTTTTCAAAATAACTTGAGTGCTTTTAGGTTTATAATAAAATTGTGGAGAGTGGAATAGACCTAGGACCCAGACTACCAGAGGCTGAGCTGAACTGGTTATGTGTTGAGAGTTTTAAAGAGTTAAAGCCCTTTGAAGGATAAAACTGGAGTTGGTTTTGCCACCCCAGTGCACTTCTCTAGACCAAGCAGCTCACCTGAACAGGGCCAGCCAGAATGACTTTGCGGTTGTAGTGTGCATTCTTTCTATTTCTGCTGCTTTTCCTGTTTTTGAAAAAAGAACTTCATTATTGAATCTCTAAGCAGGACCTCTTAGCAATCTTTGGAGGCTAAATTCCCTAAAATGTTTTTGTATCTGGCTAAACTCAGTAGCCATTGGAAAATGATTAAAGTGTATTGCATATTCCTAGTTCTCAAATTACAATAGTAATTTTCAAATGAAAATCCTAGGGTTGCTTTAGGATCTCTTCCCACCATCTCATTATAAGGCTGTGGGATACCATTGGGAATTGGGACATTCATCCTATAAAGTTTAATTGGAAAGAAACCACAGTATATTTCTAAATTAATTCCACTTATTTTTTTCTTTTAAAAACCAATTCATTGGCTAAGACAGATTTCAAAACGTTTTCTCCAATTCCCCAATTTGAAACTTTCGTTGAGTTTTCAGGAAATTGCCAAGATCAAACAACTTACTAAGAGTTTGGTCTCCAGGTTTCTCAAAACCTTGAAATTTCCTGGGAACTGTCTAATTTCTAAAGGCTAATTACTGTTTACTTCTCTGGACCTTTGTCCCTTTTCTCCTGTAACATTTTCCGTCTTAAGGAGGGTCGTCCCATTCAGCCCGGAGCATGCTGTCTGAATGCTGAATGGAATTACTACCAGTGGAAACTATGCTGCAAGAGGGGTTGATAAAGCAGCTGCTAAACAAACCTCACTGCTTTTTCCATCCTCCCAAAGCAGAGTTAATTAGCATAGGGAAAATGACTAAGGTGCTGACGTCACCTCTTTCCAATAGAGACTCACACTTTGTCCTTGTCTGCCTGTAAGCATGCAGGACTTGACTCAGGAATTTGCTGTCCAAACAGGATGCCCTGGAAGTGGTGCTTTTTCTCCCAAGGGGCTGGCCCTCAGTGCTTTATAAACACTGGCTCCAGCTAGGAACCCAGAGCTCCTCGTAAAAGAACTTCGCTCAGGACTTGACTCCGTGGGTCCCAGTGCTCTCACTGTAAGAAAGCAAGATGCACTTTAGAAACTTTAACTACAGCTTTAGCTCACTGATTGCGTGTGTGGCAAACAGTGATATCTTCAGCGAAAGTGAAACCAGGGTAAGGTTTCTAATATATTGCGATTGTGGTGTGTTTCAAAACATTGTGTAAATTGGGACTATTAACGAGATATTGGGGATAGTGGCTCTCTTATGGATGTGGGAATTTTGCAGTAAATCCAAAGTACTTTTAGCTTTTAAAAGCAAAAGCTGTTCAGTGAAGGAATTTCTAAAGATCTCTATATTTGAAAACATCCAGGTCCTTGACCAAATAATAAGGCAGAGTTTATTTTTGGGTCAAAATCTACTTGATGGAAATGGGTTTGGTTTTTGGTTTTATGTTGTGAGTAAAATTTTAGCAGAGACTGGAACGCTTCAGAGAATGCTTCAGTTTTACAGCCAGAACTCAGAATAACTTGATTTTACCTTAGGCAGTAGGTATTATAAAGATCTTTGCAGGGTTTGCCAGAAAGGGCAAGGGTCTGTCCTCAAGGAGCCACATGTCTCTAGCTAGAGAAAGTGCATCCATAGCAGCAAATGATAAAACTGGGTAAATAATTGAAGTGTGGGGTAAGAGTGCCTCCTGGGAAGCAGCTGTTGTTGATAGGAATTAATATAATCAGTAAGTTTATCACTATGTAGTTTTCTTCCTCATTTCATTAATACATGAGATTTTTCATCAGTAACTATCCAGCTATATAATCAATCTCTAATAATATCATATATGATAACTTCTGTATGCTCTGGGAGGTGGTGTTTGTGTTATATGCTTTATACACAAAGCTGTGTCAGTACATGTGAATGTATATATATATATACAGAGAGAAAGAGAAAAAAAATTTAACTCATTATTATATATGATGGTTGCAGGCCAGGACCATAGTTTTTGAACTAGGTTGTAGGACAATCTGTAAAAGTATTAGACATAGTAGTTCTATGTGTAAAAGTACCACAATACCAAAGTGTTTAATTATGATTTTAATTTCCTTTAAGTAGAGATTTGATACATCACTGTATATCAGTTATCTGAAGAATTGTGATTATTTTATAAGAGGATAATAATATGGATTTAACAGATAATATAACTTCTGTTGTATCCTGAGCCTGAGCCTTGACTTGTATTCTAAAAATACTCATCAAAGTCATCTCGCCTAAATTCTGAATCATAACTTCGAAACTGAGCACAATGCTTATTGATGAGGTCATGCGAAATTCCAAATTTATGAAGCACACCATTCTGCCAGAAACTTGCCCATACTTGAGAGAGGTGGGGAGAAAATATTAGGCAGCCAGACGAGAGACTATCTACTCTGCATTCTTTCACACGGGCCTTTTCAAAAATCTTCCCTGGCAAGTCAAAGAAAACTTCATCAACTAAAGAAAAGCCAAGGAGATGCAATAAAGTAGATTTGCCAGTTGTTCCCTTCTCCCTGAACAAACCAGCAGCTCCTCTGCAAGCAGATGCGGGACCTGGCAAGCTCTCCTGCGGGCAGCCCTACCTGGCAGGTGTACCTTTGCTCTTTTCTCCCCACACCCCAGCTCCCAACACACACACACAGGCACACCCTTTAGGGCTGTGATATTCTGGAAGATGTTTTCCTGCCCTGTAAAATCCTCTCTCCACTCTGCACTCACACTGTGTTTTCCATAGGTGTTTTGTCATATGAGGGCTGCTTCCTCTTATGCATCAATCATGCAATCGTGGGCTCTCACTGCTAGGATCCTGACTTTTAGCTGTGCACCCCCCCCACATTCCCACCCCCACCCCAGCTGCACGTCTTTCACACCAACTCCCACCACAGGCCCTGAGTGTTTAATCTGGAAAAAAGACTCAAACATGACTAAAAGCCTTTGCCATCTTCCTAGAAGCCTAACCTGTCCACTAACTCTCTGCAGTTGGAATCCTCAGGAATATGGTAGCCTGCCCAGCTCTCCCACCTCTACCACATGCTGCCCCACCTGGCTCCACCCAGGACCCAGCCCAGGGGGCCTCTCCTTGCCAGAGCTTCTCAGAAACAGGAGGAAACTGATGAGTTCTGTTGTCTGAATCTAAGCTTGTAATGCTTGAACTTTGGCTTTTCATTCTAAGAGCTCATAATATTTCATAATTTTCACTAATCCCTATACCACTAGAGCTAGATATGTATGTACATTGACTAAAGCCAACATATAGAAATTGGTCCATTTGCAATATACTGATTTTTAAACCAGGATTATTTTAAACTAAAAACAGTGCCATCAAGTTGGACCCGACTCATAGTGACCTCTGCTTGGGTTTCTGAGGTGATATCACTATGGAAGTAGATTGCCCAACCTTCTTTCAGAGGAGTGGCTGGTGGGTTTGAACCACCAGCCCTCTGGTTAGCAGTCAAATGCTTTAGGCACTATGCCACCAGAGCTCCCCAGGATTATTTTAGAGAGTCAAAAAATAACAGACTGAGATAAAAGCAAAAGTGGATTTTTTTTTTAAACCACTCTTTTTGCATTAAAAAACACAAAGCTTTTTATTAACTTCATCATTTTTCTACTCAGTAAAAATGGTTTTCTCAAATTAGTTTCAGTGCTTTTTAATCCCCAAAGAAGTATTTTTGTCTTCACTTGGGCTGAGAACTGTTGATCAGGATCCTTCTAGAGCTGATGGGGGCCTTGCTTTATGGAAGGAAGGTGACGCCAGAGCTTGTGACTTTCCTAAGTGGGCTGAAAAGGGGAACATGCTTCCACTAGAAAGAAGGTGTTCACTGAACAATCTGAGGGGGACAGGCGGAGGGGTGGTGATTGTTGCTTAGGGTTAAACTAGCAAAGGTCATTGGACAGAGAAACTGGCACCAATTTACCAAACTACTTCCTTGGAAAATGCTCACTCTACTTTAAAAAGAATATTTCTACTACTATAAAAATGTTAAGTATTAATCATTGTTCTGCTTTTGAAATGTAATTTCATAAACCATACATTCTTACTTTCTCACGCAGCCATTTATAAACCTGTAATCAGTTGCCATCAGGTCAATTTCAACTCATGGTGGCCCCATGTCTTACAGACTAGAACTGCTCCATAGGGTTTTCAAGTCTGTGACCTGTCAGAAGCAGATCGCCAGGGCTTTCTTCCAAGGCACCTCTGGGTGGGTTTCCAAACTCTTAACCAATCATTTGTGCCACCCAGGGACTCCATACAACAAACTGTATTTGGATTAAAAGGGCAGAAAATGTGGTATATCCTCAGGAGAAAGGCTGGTTCTTTATCTGCTCTAAGTAAAAAGTTCTGAGTTCTGGAAATGATTGATAATTCACTTCCTCAATAAGAAGTATAATGAGAATATGTAGTCAGGGATCAAAATTGGGCAAATTTTAACTTCTTCTGTTTTTATTATAATATTTTTCAGGCCAAGTTTGAATCACTCTTTAGGACATATGACAAGGATATCACCTTTCAGTATTTTAAGAGCTTCAAACGAGTCAGAATAAACTTCAGCAACCCTTTATCTGCAGCAGATGCCCGACTCCAACTACATAAGACTGAGTTTCTGGGAAAGGAAATGAAATTGTATTTTGCTCAGGTGAGTTGGGTTTATTCACGTGGATGCTTCTCCCTTCTCCCTCCCACCTTGTTTTCTGAAGCAGCTGATACTTAGATTACATTATACATTGATTTTTTTTTTAAAAACAAACCTTAAGAATTCATGATGAGAAAGGCAGAATTTCTACTCTCTGTCTGTTTTCCATGTCTCATCTGTCTTGAGAAAACATCAGGGCGTATTTGAAACTAGCCTTGAAGTGGGCCCTGATCTTCTTGAGTGCCAAGCAAGAGGATAGAAAGCTGGGGGTTATGGGCATAGCTACTCTGGAGCCCTGACAGTTGTGTGCAGCTGGTTTTCAGACTGAACTTGCCTGAGGTTTGGACTTGCAGCTTATTCCAGCCTGAGCCGAGGTCAAGTTTCCAGCTGTGTGTAGGTTCTCAGCAGACAGCAGCATGCGCACTCCCTCCCCTGGTGGAGAAACTAGGTGTCCTGTCAGCCCTAGGAGGAAGTAACAGTCTGCAGATATGTCGTGCACACTAGCGTAGAGCTGCCAGTCCTGGCCCCTAAAGAAAATGCAGAAAAATGGGTGACCCAGACAGGTAGCCGACTCTAGGTATCCTCCTGTTAGCAGGGGCCTGGCCCAGGGGAACTCACAGGTTTTGCTTTATCGTCCTGCTTACCACCTTCCAGAAACTCCTCCCTCGATCTTAGAGGGTAGATGACACACCTTCAAGGCAGCCCACAAAATCCCATGTGTAGACAGAACAGGGTCCCAGGGATTGGAGGCATAGAGAGAGAATGCTTCTCTCCTGTACAAGCGAGCCTCAGTCAGTCTCTGAACCCCTGGACCAGGATGGAAGCATGTCCATGGAGAGACTTCTTTCCCAGCAGGAGGAAAGTTCTCTTGACTCTATGCCAGAAAGCAAAATCCCTTTCTGCATCAAATAAACTGAGGCCAATTTGCCCAGCAGTTTCAATGCCAAGTTAAAGCTGGATGGGATGCTCTGCCCCCTGGTGGTATGCACGCTCCTATGTTGGTAGGCGGCAGGCAGTCCCTTCCTCAGCTCCTCCCTCCCCCGGCCCCGTCTGCATGTGTTTTTGTACATTTGGTGAGACCTCTTATAAATAACTACTTAGTACTTTCATGACTTTTTTCTGATCATGAAAGCAATACATGTTAATTGTAAAAATTTGAAGAAAAACAAAACTGGTAAGATTTTGAAGTAAGTTGTTTCCAGATAGCCTTCTAATCATAGAATATTAAGACTAACTTGAATCATAAAAGGCGCTCTGGTGGTGCAGGCCTAAGGCATTTGACTGCTAACCAGAAGATTGGCAGTTCAAACCCACCAGGTGCTTCACGGAAGGAAGATGAGGCAATCTACTTCCGTAAAGATTTACCTCCTTGGAAACCCAGTGGGGGTTGCTATGAGTCAGAATCGACTTGGTGGAAATGGGTTTGTGGTTTTTTTTGGTTAGAATCATAAGGAGCCCTGGTGATGCCGTGGTTAAACCTCTTGGCTATTAACCAAAAAGTCAGTAGTTCCAACCTGCCAGTTTCTTCACAGGAGAAAATATGGCAGTCTGCTTCCATAAAGAAACCCTATGAGGCAGTTCTACTCTGTCCTACAGGGTGGCTGTGAGTCGGAATTGACTCAATGGCAACGGGCTTGGTTTGTTTTGGTTTGTTTTTTGGATCTATGTTCATAGGCTATTACTACTTTTATTTTTCTTAATGTCCTAGGAGTTGAGTTGTTTTCCTTATCATAACTTCTGATATCTGATAAGGAGCCTCAAAGGCAGGGAGCACAGACAGAGCCCCTAACTGCTGGATGGGCAGCATGGGTGGCGGCTTTGGACCATGAAGGGCAGATGTGCTAGGTCCTCATCCCAGCTTTGCCTCCAGAAAAACTGTATCATCTTAGAGATGTGGCTTAGCCTTTTGGAGAATATGCTTGATAATATGAGGAGCTGGGAGCAATTGATTCTGGGATCCCTTCTAATCTTGAAATCAGCAGCTTTATTTTTAACATTTATACTAAAATCATCTCTGTGATCTTCTATCCATCGAGGTCAAGTGTAATCAGTTGCAGTTCCTGTGCCTATGAGTCCCGTGTCCCTGTGAGAGAGCTCCATTCGTATTTGTACCATAGCTAGAGTTCAAACTCCCTTTTACCTTCCCCTTTGACTATTTTAGGGTTCATTCCTGAATCCACAGCTCTTCTGCTGCCTGATTTTTTTTCCACTGATACCTGTCACTCATGAGCTGTTCTTAAGTGCTGTTGCATTGTTTCAGGTTGGCCCTCGCTAAACACTGGCATGTATTCCTTTATCTCCTCAGACTTTACACATAGGAAGTTCACACTTGGCTCCACCAAATCCTGACAAGCAGTTTCTGATCTCTCCTCCTGCCTCTCCGCCTGTGGGTTGGAAGCAAGTGGAAGACGCAACTCCCGTCATTAATTATGATCTTTTATATGCTATCTCCAAGCTAGGGCCAGGTAAGCCCTGCTCTGGGGTGGGGGTGGGGGGTTGGTGAAGTGGGGAGAGGTTGTGCTGAAGGCCCATGACACAGGTGTTCTCAATCCTTCAGGGAGTGGCCATGTCCCCACTGCTTTTGTCATCCCATGTGTGGTTCTACACAGCATGTCTGTGAATATTCTCTATTTGTATCCTGTATCACTATAGTAGGCCCCCAGTCACTCAGATGGTTTGTACTCAACTACTAGCTTAAAGGCTGATGGTTTGAACCCATCCAGCAGTGCCCTAGAAGCATCCACAAGTGCTTTAGAAGAAAGTCCTGGCCATCTACTTCCAAAAGATTACAGCCATTGAAAACTCTATGGAGCTTATGTCTGCTCTGCACATAAGATGCTCTGAATCGGAGTCAACTCAATAGCAACTGGTTTGCTTTGGTTTGGGTGTCCACTGCCACTTATGCTGGGAGTATGTGTGCCTCTACTTACCTGTTTCCTTTGGGAAGGTGTGTAAGAGAAACTGTAGCTGGTCATGGGGACCAAGCCCTGCGACCCCTTCTGGCAGGCATCAGGTGAATCCAGTACCATGGATGATTTGGGGTTGGCTGCATGGTGGTTTGCACTCTAGCTCAAGATCTGTGTCACTCCAAGTGGAGATATGATTGGACTTTGGAAAGGGGAAACAGGTCCCCCTTCTAGAAAGTCATTTTTAGTCAACATGATTTGGTTCATTTGTCTGATTCTCACCTGCCTTCTCTAATGTGGAGGGAAGGAGGATCATAGTGAAAAAGAGCCCCAGTCATGCATGCCCTACCCTCATCTTCCCGTAGGGGGCACTGCCACATTGACAGAGAAAGTAGACGTTCTAGTCCTGTGAAGGGATTCAGATGACCCATAGCAGGACAAAGGTGTGAGCATTCAGGGAGACTAATTACTCTGACCTATGGATCATCATGTATAAAATGGTATTATTCCATAGAGTTGTGGGTGGTAGATGAGAACATCATTTAAAAGCATATAGAACAACCTACCTAGTCCATAGTCAGTGCTCAATGTATGTTTTTAAAAAACAGTAAGATGTTGGTAGTTCCTGGCCTGTCTGGTATAGGGTATTGGTGAGGGTATAGGTGAGGAGGCAGGGCTGAGAGTTGGTGGGATCTTGGGATGAAGAGGTCTGAGCTTTCCTTTGTCCTATCCATGGGGCAAATCAAATAAATGCTGAGATTTCCAACTCCTCCTTTCTCCTTGACTAGCAATCTGATGTTCCTTTGGGTTGAGGGTTTTAATTTCTTGGTCTATCAGCAGCTTCACATTGAAAAGATTACATTTCTGAAAACATTGCCCTAACAGAAATGCCCTCTGTGGTGTAAAGCCAGAATCACGTTACTTATGCTAATCGATGTGTGAAGGTCAAGATCTTAACTGGCCAGTTTGAGGGGAGCGTGTGCTCCTCCAACACCCGGCACAGCCCCTGGCCAAGGGGCAGGAGCAAAGTGGAGGGCTTGGAACCTGCTCACGTATGTGAGAGGAAAGGTGATCTCCACCTGGGGAGAAGTGCAAACTGCTGAATAAGCGAAAAATGCTACTAATGACAGTTCTTCCCTTTCCGGAATCTACCACTCCTTTACAGAATGCTCACCTGAGAAGCCTCTCTGAAAAGTAGAACTAAAAAACAAACTCACTGCCACTGAGTTGATTCCAACTCATAGCGACCCCCATTGGTTTCCAAGGCTGTAAGTCTTTACGGAAGTAGACTGCCTCTTCTTTCTTTGCTGGAGAAACTGGGAGGTTCAAACCACCAGCCTTTGGATTAGCAGCTAAATGCCTTAACCATTATGCCACCAGAAAATAGACATCATAAAATCATTTTGCCTCTAGTTTACTTAGCAATAACCTCAAATAGTAGTCCATATTTTGGCTGTGCTTTTCAGCCAGGAAGACTGCAGAGATTTTGAAAATATGGCCCTAGACTTGGAGCTTTCTGGATCTTGACTGACTGCTAGATAGATAACGGTTTTTGAAGAGGTCTTCTACCAAATGGTGAATTCTGTGTTCAAGATGCTGACCTTCGTTCTCCGTCGGAGCAAGGGAGCTGAGGCTCTTTCACTTTTTCAAATTCAGTTACAATAAAAGTCCAGTCTCACACATGGGATAGAGAAGGACAACAACCATTTTATGAGTAAAAGAACCAATTACCCTTGGGTTGACTCATGGCATCCCTATGTGGCTCAGAGTAGAACTGTGCTGCATATTGTTTTCAATGGCTGATTTTTTGGAAGTAGATCACCAGGCCTTTATTTCTCAGTGCCTCTAGGTAGATTCAAACCTCCAACCTAATGCAGCTACGCACACTAACTGTTTGCACCAAAAGTCCCTTCCACAGTTAAAGGAGTGGCAGGTGTAGCGTGAGAAAATCCTGCTTAACTGCTCCTTCTAGTCAAAACTCAGCCACAGTAAATGGCGTAAGGTGGTCAGGGGTTCCTCCTCACTTGCCCAGAACTGCAAAGAAATGCTGCACGTAATGCCTTGGGGGAGAACCCTATCTGCTCCCTCTGAGGAGAGATACAGCAAACTGAAGCAAACCCTCCTGCCCCTGTTTAAAATCCCTAACATGTCTGCTCTCCATAGGAGAGCAAGGATTCAGGTTCTCTTTCACAACATACTCGGAAATATGTGCCATGCATGTGAGCCTGTGTGCACTCATTTAATTAGCTCCAGCAAGTGGATGCCATCATCAGCCCATTTTACAGACCACAGTGAGACACACAGGAAGGCAAAGTAACGTGCCCATGGGCACCCAGTACTAAGTGGCCAGGCAGGCTGGCTGAGAGCCCAAGCTTTTGACCCAAGCATGGCCTCACCTCAGTTCCAGACACAGATTCTTCCCATAGCCTGAGTGGTGCCAGAAAGTGATGACAGGTTTTTCAGTTACAAAAAGTTGAGTCCACTCTTGCTGAATCAGACTAGCTTGAACTTTCCTGAACATGGTAAAGCTCAGGCTGAAAAAGAGCAGCAGAACATTGCCCATCCCAGGGGGTTTAGCAGTTGTTGTGTGAAAAAGAATGCCGCGGTCAGTCAGAAATGCTTTTGGAGCATGTGGCCACATGCAGTTCCTGACCCCCCATCCCACCCTCGTGTCTGTGCCTCAGGCCCCACAGTGTCCCCAGTGCCCAGGTGTGCACTGACAGTCTCAGTGGAGGGCCTCACAAGGGAGACTCAGCAAGTCCTCCTTCCACGTGCACTTTTGCAGACAGCATCCTTTCCCTGAGCTGATGCTCCTCACACCACACTTAGGGAAATATTGACCTTCAAGTAGTTTAGGATTCCTGGGGGACATGTAAGAGCTCTGGTGGCACAGTGCCAAAGGCACTTGACTGCTAACCAGAAAGCTGGCAGTTCAAACCCACCAGCCACTCCTCAAAAGGAAGGTTGGGCAATCTACTTCCATAGAGATACTGCCTCAGAAACTCAAGGAAGGGTCACTATGAGTCGAAGCAGTTACTATTGAGTCAGCAACTGACTCATGTGCATCAGAGGAGAAGCATATTCTGTATGGTTTTCAGTGGCTGGTTTTGGAAGTAGATAGCCAGGCCTTTCTTCCAAGGTCCTTCTGGGTGGATTTAAACCACCGGTTTTTCAGTTAGCAGATGAGTGTGTTAACTGTTTGTACTACCCAAAGACTGTAATTTAAAATAATAATAATAATACATTTCCTCCATATCTCCCATATGCTTGGACTCAGCAGTGTTTGAGCAGATTCATATACAATGGCAATGTATTATCTTTTTCTAAGTGAGCCCCTGAAGAAATACAGAATGTTCTTGCCTATGTCTCTTTGTCCCCAATGAATGTATGCAGAAGCTCAGCCAAGCAAACCCATAAGTACTTTTCCATTTTCTCTTGCTCTTGGCTCTCAAGGACTTGTTGGAGTCACCCTGCAATTCTTTCTTTCCCTAGGGGAGAAGTATGAATTGCATGCAGCCACTGACACCACCCCCAGCGTAGTGGTCCACGTGTGTGAGAGCGACCAAGAGAATGAAGATGATGATGAAATGGAGAGAATGAAGAGACCCAAACCCAAAATTATCCAGACCAGGAGGCCAGAGTACACACCTATCCACTTAAGCTGAACCGGCCCTGGATGAAGAAGTATTCCAAACCATCCTTAAGGGGAGGAACCTTTGACTGTGCAAATGGCCGGTCACAACTTTGAAGTGGCAGCCGTGACCATTGTGGCAGAAATCCCAGTCCATGTTGCTCAGAAGAGAATCAAGGCTTTGTCTCCTTGTTCCAATGCTGCACATCAGTCATGTTCATGGCACCCGGGATGCCTTGGGCCAATCACTGAGTTTGTGGTGATCGCACAAGGACATTTGGGAACATCTTGAGAAAACCGATAATGATAGTATTTTGTACTTGTTCTTTTCTGATAGGTTGTTAGGTTTGTGCCAAGGGCAGGTTGACCAGTGCGCCCAAGGGGAGCTTTCTGTTTCTAACCAGCCTGCAGAGTAGAATCTCTACTGGTCAGAAGAGGCACCAAGTGTGGGTGCAGGAAGGTTGTTAAAACAATAGATGCAATGTGGAAATTGTAGTGTTTCGTTTCTTCCCCTCATGTTCTAATGTTTGTGCATGTATATTACTGAGTTTCAGAACTAACTTTTGTTCATATGTAAAGTTACACCATGGTGTTTTACATCTTCTGGAAAGCTAGGAAAGCATTTGAAAATTGTCACCCTTGCAGGTCTGCGACTCATTTTCAACAGCGCTCCTTTTTTACCTGTAATACTTTCACTCGGCACCCTACCCGAGGCCACATGTAACTTGTGCTTTGCAAAAGAAATTTTGGCCTGAAATTTCTATGTAGAGTTTAGCTTACATTCAGAGAATAGCAGTTTCACTGCCAACTTTTCGTGGGTGAGAAATTTTAGTTTAGGTGTTTTGGGTTAGACATTGGTTTCATTTGTTTCTTTAACATGGTTGTTAACATCCATGAATCACAGCCAAATGCCATTTGGGGAACTGTTAGTTGAGGTAGTTGATTTTTACCCCACTGAAACATCAAAATAAACTTGTAAATAAAGCTGATAGCATATATGCATAATTGTTGTATACTTGGGTGAAAAACATGGCAGTGGAAGAATAGTATAAGATGTATTAACCTTTATGTGAGTTGTATGTTGTAGAAATGCTGTTAAAACATTTTTACAGGACTTGATTCCAAAGCATGTCCAGTGGCTAGTAGCTGTGTGGTGATAAGGGATGCAGTGCCTTTCCCCATTAATTCCTGATGGAATTGTTACACTAGGTTAACATTTGTAAATTTTTTTTCTAGTTGTAATGTGTATGTCTGGTACATAGGTATTATACTTTGGCCTTAACAATACCATAATAGAGTGTGTTGTTTTGAAATACCTGATGCCAAGTAACAGTGCATGCTTTGGAAATTTGGAAGATGGTTTTCTTTAAGAAGCAAATACATTTGCATTAACTACTTTAGTTGTTCATATTGAAATGGATTGAATGTTCTCGAAACCTTGTTTACAACACTTGGTGGGGGGAGGGGAAGGTGAGGGAGAGACCATTACGTAGCTGTTCAAGTGTTTCTAGTTAAGTGCTTTTAAACTGGAGAGGTTAACATCAAAATATTTTTTTAACTGCATTCTATATAATAAATTGGCACAATCTGCTCTTTACGGAAAAGTTACCTGTGTGTCATTTTATTTCTAAGGCTTAACCTCTGAACCCTTTGAATATTGCAGCTTCATAGAGGTACATTCCTTCCTCGATTTGAGTTTTGAAACTCCTGATTCTTTCCTGTAGTTCATGCTAGGGTTTGCCTCCAAGTAATATATCCCTTAGGAAAAGGGGAAAATGGATAAAACTAGAATCAAAACCCTAAGTATATCCTTTTTGCAGATAAAAAAAAAAAAGAAAACTCATCGCCATCGAGTCGGATCTGACTCAGCAACCCCTCCTTGGGTTTCTGAGGCTGTATCTCTATGGAAGTAGATAGCCCAACCTTCCTTCAAAGGAGTGGCCAGTGGGTTTGAACCACTAGCTTTCTGGTTGGCAGTCAAATATGTTGAAGCTCTATTCACCTGCAACCCTATTTTAAAAAATTGCTTTTGCTTGTTCATTCAAGGAATTTTCTGTTAGACAAGATATCCATGGAAGATAATAACATACACAGGCTGATTATGTTCAGAAAATTTGTTAAGTCTTCTGTTTGAATCTTAAGCAGAATTTTCTCTGGAGCCCTTACAACAAATGGTGGTGAGCTTCCTGTACTAGCGCACAAGTCTACACAACCCATTTGATTTATATGCTGAAATCTAGCCAATAGTGTTCATCTTGATCAAGATTGGCATTAAGCATTTTTCCATAAAAATTCGTTTGCTGCTTTTTCTTCTTTTTATGAGAAGCCTCATCCTGTCATTTCCCAAGAACATTTGCATGTTTTAAAGCCACGCATGTTTGAGGTTTAAATATGTTGGAAAATTCACATTCAGTCAAGTCTGATTATTGAGCAAATGATAGACCAGGTTCACGAACTGACCACCTGGGGGAAGAGGGAAATGTTTCCAAACAGAAGCATGGAAGAGCTTGGCTGTCATTTATTGATTTTTTTTTTTTTTTTTTTTTTAATAACAAGGAGCTCAATAGTAGACAGAACTAGATGGAGAAGCCTGCAGGCCCAAGATCCAGTCTCATTTAAAAAAAAAAAAAAAAAAAAAAACTGCCTCAAGTTGATTCCGACTCATAGTGACCATATAGGACAGAGTAGAACTGCCCCTTGGAGTTTCCAAGGCTGTAAACCTTTTATGGAAGTAGATTGTCCAGTCTTCCTCCTGCAGAAAGCTGCTGGGTTTGAACTGCCAACCTTTTGGTTAGCTGCAGAATGCCTTAACCACTGTGCCACCAGAGCTCCAGTTTCATAAAAGGCTAGTAAAATATCCCTGGAATAAATCAGAAATGTGTGGTCAGTTAATGCAGACATCCAACATCTGAGTTGGCTCCCCTTACGTAAATGAGGTTTTAGAAGTTGATGACCAGCATCCATCTATCAGTTTGTTATATTGTAGTGACTTGTGTGCTGTTATGATACCAGAAGCTATGCCACTGGCATTTCAATATCAGCAAGGTCACTGATGATGGGCAGGTTTTAGCAGAATTTCCAGACTAAGATGAAGGTAAAAGGCCTGGCGATCTAAGTCCAAAAATTAGTCAGTGCAACCCTATGGATCACAGAATATTGCCTGATACGGTACTAGAAGATGAGCTCGTAAGTTAGAAAGTACTCAAAATACCCAGTGACCACAACAGTGAATTCAACCATGCCAATGTGAAGGTGGTGCAGGATTGGGCAAGGTTTTATTCCATTGTGCATAGGGTTGCCATGAGTCAGAACCAACGCAATAGCTACTGACGACAACTTAAGTTGTTGGTTCCTCTGCCGGTGAAACCAACAGAACCCTAGAGGAGATATACAAGGCAACAAGCATTCTCTGTCACCACAGACTGTTCCTGACTAATGCTTTTGTGGCAGGCACATATGTCAGCCTCAGCTGGCACCAGTACCCCGTGCAGTTGTTGTTTACCAGCCTGATGGATCCAAAGGGCTCCAAGTCACTAATGAGCCCAGGACTCACGTGTCTTTGGCCCTGTTACTGGGAATATCTCAGTAAAATGCAGTATGGCAGACACAAGACAGGTGGAAGCCACACAGAACACATGCTTTGCCATTGATTAAATATATTTCTTAAATAGGCTTCAATAGAATATATTTTTGATCTGATGCTAAGCAGATTTGCACCGTCCAAGAAAAAAAAATCACCCTTGGAAATTTATGCTAATTGAAGTGAAGAGTGGTGAACAATGAGAGGAACCTAACATTCATGTGGCTTTTAGCACTCCGGTTATAAACATTGATTTGGAGTCAGCAAGCATTTAGAATTTTGTATTTCTAGAATATTGTGTGAATTAGTACCCATAGGAGAGCTGCACTTTTCAGAATTCTAATTTTAGGTGAAATATACAGAATTCACAGTGTTTCTCTGCTATTCATAAGGTTTTCCCTGGCCAATTCTTTGTTAAGTGGATGGCCTCTTCCTTCTTCCTAGTCCGTCTCAGTCTGTAAGCTGCCTTGAAACTTGTGCACCATGTGCAACCCTGCTGGCGTTCAAAACACCGGTGGCACACCCCAAGCCTCACAGCAACATGCAAGCCACCACAGTACAACAAACTGACAGACAAGTTTGTCTCTCTTAGCTGTTTGAAACCTCTCCGCCCTCCCTTTACCTGGATCCCTGCAGCTGCTCGCTCTGTCATTCCCCCTGGCTTCCCCCACCCCTTGCTTTCCTGCCTCTTGGGGGTGGGGTCTGGGTGCTGGCGAAGAATGCTGAAAGTACCGTGGACTGCTAATTGTTGTTATGTGCTGTCGAGTCGGCCCGACTCATAGCGACCCCTCCTTGGGTTTCCGAGGCAGTATCACTACAGAAGTAGGATTGCCCAACCTTCCTTCCGAGTAGTGGCTGGTGGGTTTGAACCGCCAGCCTTCTGGTTAGCAGTCAAGTGCTTTAGCCACTATGCTACCAGAGCTCCCTGTGGACTGCTAAAAGAACTAATAAATCTGTCTTGGAGGAAGTGCAGCCAGAATGCTCCTTGGAAGTGGGAATGGCCAGACTTCGTCTCACCTACTTTGGTCTTGTTGTCAGAAAGGACCATACCCTGGAGAAGGATGTCATGCTTGGTAAGGTGGAGGGTCAACAAAAGAGGGAAAGGCCCTCAATGAGATGGATTGACACAGTGGCTGCGGCAATGGGCTCAAGTATAGCAAGGATTGTGGAGCTGGTGTGGGACCGGGCGGTGTTGCATTCTGCTGTGCATAGGATAGCTATGAGTCGGAGATGACTTGATGGCACCTAATAGCAACACACAGAATTCACTGCAAAATAAATAGATTTTATCAAATAGTAACCGCAGAGGATTAAATATGTGACATGTTATGACTCAAAATGAACATGCAGCTGAAATACATCATAGTTTTTAGCCTCCGCAGAACCCTGAGGAATGGTCTCAATAGAATATTCTAAGTGCATATTACTCATTAAGACTCAACAATTCAGAGATGGAATCTGCATAAATAATTTATCTTAAAATTAGTGGGTTATGGGTTATGGGGAGTTACTATTTAATAGAAACTGAGTTTCTGTATATTACTGTTGTTAGGTGCTGTCAAGTTGGTTCTGACTCATAGTGACCCTACATACAACAGAATGAAATGCTGCCCAGTGTTGTGCCATCCTCACAGTCATTGCTGTGTTGGAGCCCATTGTTGGAGCTATTGTGTCAGTCCATCTCACTGAGGATCTTTTT